TATTATTATTATTATTATACAGGATTTATATATTATTATTATACAGGATTTATATGACGCCAACAGTTTGCTCAGCGCTTTACAATATAACGGGAGACAATACAGCAACAATACAGTTCAATACAAGAGGGTTAGGAGGGCCCTGATCCTGGGAGCTTACAATCTAGGAGGGAGGGGCTAGTGGTACAAAAGGTAGTAACTGTGGGGGATGGACTGGTAGAAGGAATAGAAGATTCAGTTATCAGCTGAGGGCAGGATAGGCTTCCCTGAAGAGATAGGTTTTCAGAGATCGCCTAAAAGTGGGCAGAGTAGGCGATAGACGGATAGATTGGGGTAGAGAGTTCCAGAGGATGGGGGAGGCTCTGGAGAAGTCCTGGAGACAACCATGGGAGGGGGAGACATGCTCGTTGCCTGATACACATTATCAGGGATATATAACATTCACTAGATGATACAATGTTTGCTTTTGCATCAACCCTGCCAAAAACAACATCCCCCATTGGCTGAGAACGCCGGTAGCATTGGTGGCATTTCATAATTACCTCGATTGCTTCAGATATAAAGCAGTTTGTCGGCAGCCACACACTTCCTTACAGACCACTAACTCTCCTACAATACATTTCAGATGTTTTAAAGCTGAACTCCAGCACAGTTGTACCGGCTCCACTCCTGGACTGAAATTGCTTAGTCTGATTTCACTGCACACTGTGAGCTTCTCACAATGTGCATTAGAAGCTGCAGCAAGTCAGACAGAGCTCCACCTCATTTCCTGGCCAGACGATGTCCAGCATCATCTAGCTCTTTGTACCCCAGCCTGATGGTCCCTGACCCACCCCTTCCATTAACTGGATGTCAGCTCTTTCAATCATGGAGGATCAGCATCACATGTGGGTGTTATCTAAGGTGTCTGGAATGCAAATACAGTCTGCTTAGGGATGCCCATTCCTCCAAAATGACACCCACCCACAGGGGCAGACTGACAACTCATGGGGCCCCAGGGCAATAGGGGATCATGGGGCCCCTGTGTCCTTGCCTGAACTCAAAAAAGCCTATGAAAAAGGTACCAGGGGCATCTCATGGTGCCCCCTACTGACCCGGGGCCTCAGGCAGTGCCCGAGTTTCCAAATGGTCAGTCCGGGGCTGTGACCCAAAAGTGAAGGACTACAGGTCCCAGCGTGAACCCCTCAGAGCTAAGGATGTGACACCCCCTTCCTGCTCCCCCCCAACTACTGAAGAACTACAGGTCCCAACATGAACCCCTCAGACCTGAGAATGTGACATCCCTCCTACCCCCCCGACCTAGTGAAGGACTACAGGTCCCAGCATGAACCTGTGAGATCTAAGGGGTTACATCCTTAGATCTCATGGGTTCATGCTGGGACTTGTAGTCCTTCACTTTTGGGGGTGTCACCCTCCCAAAAGTGAAAGACTACAGGTCCCAGTGTGAACCCTTTAGAGCTGAGTATGTGATACCCCTCCCTGCCCCCCCCCAGCTAGTGAAGGACTACAAGTCCCAGCATGAACCTCTGAGATCTAAGGGGTCACATCTTTAGATCTCAGGGGTTCATGCTGGGACTTGTAGTCCTTCACTAGTTTGGGGGGTGTCACATCCTCAGCTCTGAGGGGTCCATGCTGGGTCTTGCAGTCCATCAATATTGGGTGGGTTACGTCCTAAGGCTGGCCATACACTATACAATTTTCTATCCAATTTCTGCCCAATTTCCTTGAGATTTACCTTCAACTATGTAGTACAAGAACCTGCCTAATTGAATACAATTGAAAGCGTTGTTAGGTTTGACCTCATATTATATGGTTTTTGGTAAATCTAAACCAAACATCTTAAGAAAATTGTATAATGTATGGCCAGCCTTAGATCTCAGGGGTTCATGCTGGGACTTGCAGTCTGTCAATTTTGGGTGGGTTACACATCCTTAGATCTCAGGGGTCATGCTGAGACTTGTAGTCCTTCACTAGTTGGGGGGTGTCACATCCTCAGCTCTGAGGGATTCATGCTGGGACTTGTAGTCCATCAATTTTGGGTGGTTCCCATCCTTGGATCTCAGGGGTTCATGGTAGGATTTGCAGTCCTTCACTAGTTGGGGGGTTTCACATCCTCAGCTCTGAGGGGTTCATGCTGGGACTTGTAGTCCTTCACTAGTTGGGGGGTGTCACATCCTCAGCTCTGAAGGGATCATGCTGGGACTTGTAGTCTGTCCATTTTGGGGTGGTTCCCATCCTTGGATCTCAGGGGTTCATGCTGGGACTTGTAGTCCTTCACTAGTTGGGAGGGGGGGTGTCACATCCTCAGCTCTGAGGGGTTCATGCTGGGACATGCAATCCATCAATTTTGGGTGGGTCACATCCTTATATCTCAGGGCTCATGCTGAGACTTGTAGTCCTTCACTAGTTGGGGGAGTGTCACATTCTCAGCTCTGAGGGGTTCATGCTGGGACTTGTAGTCTGTTAATTTTGGGTGGGTCCCATCCTTCATGAACCCTCAGGGGTTCATGCTGGGACTTGTAGTCTGTTAATTTTGGGTGGGTCCCATCCTTCATGAACCCTCAGGGGTTCATGCTGGGACTTGTAGTCCTTCACTAGTTGGGGGGGGGTGTCACATCCTCAGCTCTGAAGGGATCATGCTGGGACGTGTAGTCCGTCCATTTTGGGTGGTTCCCATCCTTGGATCTCTGGGGTTCATGCTGGGACTTGTAGTCCTTCACTAGTTGGAGATTGGGGGGTCATATCCTCAGCTCTGGGGGGTTCATCCTGGGACTTGTCTGCACTGCTTGCACTTTAGTTCCTGGAGGCTATGGTAGTACAAGTCCCCCTGGACGGCCACATTGTCCTCCCCACACCTTTGCGATCATGGAAATCCTTGGACTGTTTTCACCGATCCATCACTCTGCCACCACTGGCTCCAATTTATATGGGGGGGGGGGGGGGGGGGGGGGCGCCTGCCTAGGGCAGCACAGAATACACCACTGCCTACAGCAATAACAAATGAACATAATGTGACCCCTTAGGTAGTGGTGATACAGATCTCGCAGCGACCGTGCGTTCGTGGGAAGCGACACGTGTTCCAGCCCAGTGACATCATATTTGTTAAACACGAGAGGAAGTGTTCTTATTTCCGTTGGTTGCCTTCAGATACAAACTCTTACAACTGCCACTGCAAGCATTAGAACAATGGGGAACGAGCGGGGAAAAAGAGACAGTCACGTTTTTTTTTTTTTCAATTTCATTGGCAAAAGCAGCATAAGAATGAAAGGATCTTTTGTCCAACTGATCATATTTGTTCTGGTGAATTCATACTTAGAGAAAGAACTTGTCTATCATAGGTAAGGGGGGAAAAAAAATCAGCAATCAAATTCAAGCCAGCCAATGTGAACCAGTCCTAGCCCAGTCTATTGGACCCCATAATTGGTTTATTCTGGGATGGCCAAAAAGTGTACAGAATCCAATTAGGTTGTCAAGATTACAGGGGATTATGGGGCAGGATTCCCCCTCTCCTTTGTGATGTCAAAATCCTAATAGGGAAGTATAGTATGGGAGGTATGCACTGCCGGCACTGGACTTCTAACCATGTATGCTGGGTCAATGGGAACCCACACAACAGGCTTCTCCCCCCATCCCAGAAAGACAAAATCCAGTCATACCGGGACATCCAACTATCCTCACAGGTCGCAGTCATCATTATCATATGCAGAGGTTGTCCAGCATATTGGAATTTTTATTCAAACCAATAAATGCTACAGGAGATGGTTAGAAATTGTTAACATGATACAAGAGATGGTCGGAGACTGCAGACATGATACAGGAGATGGTCAGAGACTGCGGACATGATACAAGAGATGGTCAGAGACTGCAGACATGATACAGGAGATGGTCAGAGACTGCGGACATGATACAGGAGATGGTCAGAGACTGCGGACATGATACAAGAGATGGTCAGAGACTGCGGACATGATACAGGAGATGGTCAGAGACTGCAGACATGATACAGGAGATGGTCAGAGACTGCGGACATGATACAGGAGATGGTCAGAGACTGCAGACATGATACAAGAGATGGTCGGAGACGGCAGACATGATACAAGGAGATGGTCAGAGACTGCGGACATGATACAGGAGATGGTCAGAGACGGCAGACATGATACAGGAGATGGTCAGAGACGGCAGACATGATACAGGAGATGGTCAGAGACTGCGGACATGATACAAGAGATGGTCAGAGACTGCGGACATGATACAAGAGATAGTCAGAGACGGCAGACATGATACAAGAAATGGTCAGAGACGGCAGACATGACACAAGAGATGGTCAGAGACGGCAGACATGATACAAGAGATGGTCAGAGACTGCGGACATGATACAAGAGAATGGTCAGAGACTGCGGACATGATACAAGAGATGGTCAGAGACTGCAGACATGATACAAGAGATGGTCAGAGACTGCGGACATGATACAGGAGATGGTCAGAGACTGAAAACATGATACAAGAGATGGTCAGAGACTGCGGACATGATACAAGAGATGGTCAGAGACTGCAGACATGATACAAGAAATGGTCAGTGACTGCAGACATGATACAAGAGATAGTCCAAGTCTGCAGACATGATACAAGAGATGGTCAGAGTTTTCAGACATGATACAGGAGATGGTCAGAGACTGCAGACATGATACAAGAGATGGTCAGAGACTGCAGACATGATACAAGAGATGGCCAGAGACTGCAGACATGATACAAGAGATGGTCAGTGACTCCAGACATGATACAGGAGATGGTCAGAGACTGCAGACATGATACAGGAGATGGTCAGAGACTGCAGACATGATACAGGAGATGATCAGAGACTGCAGACATGATACAGGAGATGGTTAGTGACTGCAGACATGGCACAAGAGATGGTCAGAGACTGCGGGCATGATACAGGAGATGCTCAGAGACTGCAGACATGATACAAGAGATGGTCAGAGACTGCAGACATGATACAAGAGATGGTCATTGACTGCAGACATGATACAAGAGATGGTCAGAGACTGCAGACATACTACAGGGGATAGTAAGAGACTGCAGGCATGATACAATTGACAGTTTGAGACTGCAGGGATGACACAAGAGATGGTCAGAGACAGGGGCGGACTGACAACTCATGGGGCCCCCAAGCAATAGGGGATCATGGGGCCCCTGTGTCCTTGCCCAAACTCAAAAAAGCCTATGAAAAAGGTACCAGGGGCATCTCATAGGGCCCCCTACTGACCCCGGGCCCTCGGGCAGTGCCCGAGTTTCCAAATGGTCAGTCCGCCCCTGGTCAGAGACTACAGATATACTACAGGAGATGGTCAGTGACTGCAGACATGACACAAGAGATGGTCAGAGACTGCAGACATGACACAAGAGATGGTCAGAGACTGTAGACACGATACAAGAGATTGTCAGAGACAGAGGATGGTCAAAGACTGCAGGCATGATACAACTGATGTTCGGAGACTGCAGGCATGATACAAGAGATGGTCAGAGACTGCAGATATACTACAGGAGATGGTCAGAGACTGCATACATGATACAAGAGATGGTCAGAGACTGCAGACATACTACAGGAGATGGTCAGAGATGCAAACATAATATAGGAGATGATCAGAGACTGCAGACATAATATAGGAGATGGTCGGAGACTGCAGACATGATACAATTGATGATCAGAGTCTGCAGACATGATACAATTGATGATCAGAGACTGCAGGCATGATACAGGAGATGGTCAGAGACTGCAGGAATTAAACGAGATGGTCAGAGACTGCAGGACATACTACAAGAGATAGTCAGAGACTAAGGACATGATACAATAAATGGTCAGTCAGAGACTGCAGACACGATGTAAGAGATGGTCAGAGACTGCAGACATATTACAGAACGATGGTCAGAGACTGTCATGTAAGCAGTCTCCGACTATCACTTGTAACATGTATGCAGAGGAGATGGTCAGAGACTGGGAAAATGCTATGGGAATTGTTGAAGATTGGAGATGCTACAGAAGACAGTTATAGACTGCAGACATGATATTACATAAGACGCTATAACGTCCCCTTTACATATCAGTGCCCCCATATTTGTGGTCCCTACAGCCCCTCTAAAATGTGTCTCATCTGAAATTACTCCCAGCCTCACCTATTTTAAACAGAAAAAATTAACAGAGCAAATTGATGGACTTCACAGAAAAACATAGAGATGAGCGGCTGCATGCCCTTGTTTAGGCAGTCGGCCGGGTGGGGGGGGGGGGGGGGGGGGGGCAGTAAAACCATGGCCCAGCTGCCTGCTTTTACAACCACTTGGCCACACATCTGAACGAACCCTATAGTCCACTTTCCTTAGATCCGATATGGCAGTGTGACTTATTGAATCCGTTCGCAGCAATACTGATGGGCAGGGGTGTATTTAGGTTTTGTGCTGCCCTAGGCAACACAAAAATAGTCTGCCCCCACAGAAACCGACCAACACCCCTGCCCCCCACCTGTTAGAGCCTTCCACTACCCCCCTCCTTGGTGATAGAGAGAAAGACACTCATCTTCACATCTCCAGACATCCCCGGGAATGAGAGTCAGGCTCTACAAACACCATCAAGCAACCCGCAGCCTCTCTCGGATCCCACCTGGTTCCCATGACGTGCATGTGTTCTTCTTTCATTCCTTTATCTGAGGGGAGGTGCTGCTCCCCTGAAAAATGCCGCCCTAGGCAAGTGCCTTGTTTGCCTTGTGGTGAATACACCTCTACTGATGGCCAATAAAACTGTCCCTCCCATGAACTACTAGAATTTGGAGTTTGCGTCGCTCTTGTTATTAAAATTGTTGCACACCTTTGTGGATTTGATGCACAGCTTCCAACAGCATCCACGCCGCCAGGAACATATCGGAAACGCCTTGCTGAATTGCTTTGAATGAATGTATATATTGCACGCCATGTGAACGCACATTGAGCACAAAAAAAAAGTGTACAACCAGGGGCGGACTGACAACTCATGGGGCCCTCGGGCAATAGGGGATCATGGGGCCCCTGTGTCCTTGCCCAAACTCAAAAAAAGCCTATGAAAAAGGTACCAGGGCATCTCATGGGGCCCCCTACTAACCCCGGGCCCTCGGGCAGTGCCCGAGTTTCCAAATGGTCAGTCCGCCCCTGTGTACAACCAAACCACAGAAAATGATTACGAGGAAATGATAATCAACAGATGAACCCAGATCAGCCAAGACGGAGATCTTAGTGAGTTGGAAGGTGTATGAGCTTCGTCACCGGGACCCGTCTACGCTGCACCCACACCTCCAATCACGGCTCTCCACCCCCCGACACATCCGACTCATGAGAATAGAGATCTGCTCAGGACAGACAACTCACAGAATGGCGAAGAATCCCTCGGTGCCCCCAGATGCATTGGAGAGACGTCGGTGGGTCCTGGAAGATTACTGGCGGAATGTCATAACAGCTGGTCAGAGCAGGTCATCTGTGACAATCTGGAGCAGGAGGAAGGAGGGGGGGGTCATAACTGGGTATTACTGTCACAAGAAGCAGCACGCACACCGCCACTATGCAGCAGCCTGGCAACAGCAGTGGGGGCACCCATAGTCACGTACATGGCGGACCCTGGCCACAGCGGCCGAGGCCCCCCTGGGATGGAATTACTAAAACACCGGTGACCGCTGTGAGTGGTATCAGCAGGGATAATAACATGTCACATGGTGTCTTATAGAGAATGACATTCCCAGAGTGCTCAGCTGATCCCCCCCCCCCCCCCCTGCTGTGAACCATGCCTGGCACGCTTAAAGAGCCAGCGACCGCGGTGTGCAGGCTGCTGGAGGCAGAGGGTGTGGTGGGGGGGAATGCGATGTATTCAGGGGTCACCAATGGCTCATTCACATCAGCTGCTGTCGACAGTCTATACTCAGTGCAGAAGAGGAGCAGGGTGTCCCCGTCACTGCAAAAATGTCTGGAATCCCAGGGACAAGTGACAGTCAGGAATGTACTGTCACTGAATGCAAAGCACAGTGCAGGCGTACTGCCAGAATGGTCTTAGTAAAAGCGTAGAGCGGCTATTTGCCCCATACCCTGCACTCTTTGTCCCATACCCACCTATACCCTCTACTATTTGCCCCCTACCCTCCACTCTTTGTCCCATACCCACCCTATACCCCCTATTTGCCCCATACCCTCTACTATTTGCCCCATACCCTCCACTCTCTTTGCCTCATACCCTGCCCTTTGTCCCATACCCACCCTATACCCTCTACTATTTGCCCCATACCCTCCACTCTTTGTCCCATACCCACCCTATACCCTCTACTATTTGCCCCATACCCTCCACTCTTTGTCCCATACCCATCCTATACCCTCTACTATTTGCCTCATACCCTGCACTCTTTGTCCCATACCCACCCTATACCCTCTGCTCTTTGCCCCACACACTCCACTTTTTGCCCCATACTCACCCTATACCCTCTACTATTTGCCCTATACCCTCTACATACGCTCTGCTCTTTGCCCCATACTCTCCACTCTTTATCCCATACCCACCCTATACTCTCTGCACTTTGCCCTATACCCACTACATACACTCTGCTCTTTGCCCCATACCATCCACTCTTTGCCCCATGCTCACCCTTTACCCTCTACTATTTGTCCTATAACCTCTACATACACTCTGCTCTTTGCCCCATACCCATCCTATACTCTCTGCTCTTTTCCCCATACCCACCCTATACTCTCTGCTTTTTGCCCTATACCCACTACATACACTCTCCTCTTTGCCCCATACCCTCCACTCTTTGCCCCATACCCAGCCTTTACTCTCTGCTCTTTGCCCCATACTCTCCACTCTTTGTCCCATACCACCCTATACCCTCTACTATTTGCCCTATACCCACTACATACACTCTGCTCTTTGCCCATACCCTCTCTTATTTGCCTCTCATACTCACCCCATGCCCTCTCTTATTTGCCCCATACCCCCCATACCCTCTGCTATTTGCCCCATAGCCACCCCATACCTTTTTTTATCTGCCCCTGACCAATTCCATATCCCTGCTATTTTCCCTATACTCCTGCCATACCTTCTCCTATGTGCCCCCCTACCAATTCTGTACCATCTGCTCATTTACCCATACCCACACCATACTTTCTCCTGTTTGCCTCCTCTTTGTCCCATACCCCATTCGTACTCTCTGCCATTTTTCCCATAGCCATCCCGTACCTTCCATTTGCTTCATACCTACACCATAACCTCTGCTATTTCCTCCATACCCCCTGATCTTTGCCCCATACCCAATCCATACCCTCTGCTATTTTCCCCATATCTTCTGCGGTTTGCCCCAAACTCACCACATAGCTTCTGCTCTTTGCTTCATACCCACTCTACACCCTATGCCATTTGCCTCATACCAACTGCTGTTTGCCCCATACCCACCTCATACCCTCTGCTCTTTGTCCCATACTCACCTCATCCCTTCTGTTCTTTGACCCATACCCTCTGATATTTGCCCCATACCTACTTCATACTCTCTGGTATTAACCCCATATCCCCTGCCCTTTGCCACATACGTACTCCATACCCTCTGCTCTTTGCCACATACCTACTCCATACCCTCTGCACTTTGCCACATACCTACCATATACCCTCTGTTGTTTGCCCCCTACCCACATTTTACTCTCTGCTATTTTTTTATAGTCATCCCATACCTTCTGTTATTTACCCCATACCTTCTGCTCTTTTCTTCTTACCTACTTCATACCCTCTGTTTATTCCATACCCACTCCATACCCCCTGCTGTTTGCCCACATTTGCACCCTATACTATCTGCTCTATAACCCATACCTTCAGTTTTTTTGCCCCATACCCACCCTATTCCATCTGCTCTTTACCCCATACTCAACCTATACACTCTGATATTTGCCCCATGCTATCCCATACCTTCCACTCTTTGCTCCATACCCACTTCATACCCTCTGCTATTTATCCTATACTCACCATATACCTGCTATTTGCCTCATACTCACCCAAACAATTACTACCCCATGGATAGAAATTGAACATCACATAGCTGATTTACTAAAGTATTT